ACAGGGTTGTGTTGTAAACCTAAAAACTATGACAGACCAGAATGCTTTTCCTCCTGTAATAAACACAAACGTGAAGTCCCTGAAGTACATCCACAGAGTCTCTCTAGGAAAGGGCATCTGAAAAAAACCCAACATATTTACATGGGAAATACTTAAGGGATTTAAAAATAAAGGTTTAAAAGTTACTCATCTATAGATAGAATTTTGGGGGGAAACCCAAGACAAACACAGTATTAAAGTCACTTTATGTTAACACAAGTACTTGAAAGCTAGAAAATATTTGTGTCAAAGTTTCTGGTACAACCTGTTTTGTCTTCCCCTCACCCATTTATCCCAGTATTTTGACAAAATCTTTAGTTATATCATTATATATTTTTTCCAGTACAAAGACCTGTTCAACAAACAGAAAGGACAGCATTCCAGGAATAGTCTGGGTTGATCCAGGGAATAGGACTGTCACCTTCACTTCGTGGAAGTGCAATTCTTCCTCAATCAGTGAGCAGTGACACAAGCACCCTTTTCAAAGGGCAGCACAGAGACTGCTCAAGGCCTGGCTGCACGGGACTCTGAGCAAAGTGGGCTAGGGGAAGATGTCCTTCCTGCCCATGGCAGGGCTTTGGAATAGGATGGTCTTTAAGATCCCTGCCAATCCTGGCCATTCTATGATTCTAAGACTGGGATGGAGGGTTTCCCATCAGAGAATATTCAGGGTTACTTGTCTTTTGAGAAGATTGGGATTTTTTTTAATCCCTGCTCATTGTGGTGATGCATGAAATCATGATTGATACGTGGGTATTGTTAGATGCCCCAGCCCTCCTCACCTTGTCTGGTTCTTTGAGATCTGCAGTTACACGAATTGAGAACTCTTTGAGTATTTTCTTCTCTCTAGAAGTGTAAAAGAAATAGGAAAGCCAAGGTTTCATTGCCCATATGCAGTGAAATCACTGTTCTTTCATACCCTAAGTGAGTCTGGCATTCTGTGAGATGCAATGTTTCAAAGCCAGGCCTTCACTTGGACTAGAATAAGGAGGCTGAAGGCACTCAGGGATCTGATCATGAACATTTTATGCCGCAGCAGGTGATGCCTGGAAGGACATTAATAAACATCCTTCAGGTTTCTCCTGCTTTCTGGTGAGAGAACAAACCAGGAGAACTCCTGTTTCCGAGTGGTGTGCCTAACAGCTCCAGGGCTCAAGCTAATTCTGCTTCCCTCCCCTGTTCAGCACTCTCATTTATAGATTTATGGCTCTGAGTAAGAAGGGAAGTATGAAGTTGGCTGTAATTGGTACTGTGTATAAGTGTAAATTACCATTTCAAATGGGGATGCTCTGCCAGCTATAGCATTTTTTTTTTCTTCATTTTCCCTGTCTATTGCTCTTTTTAGACTGTGGGGATTTGTTTGATGTGTGGAATATTTTGGCTCCTGGGAAATGAATCCTACCCCAGAGCCTCCAGCCTGTGGGAGGTTCTGTTGTGCCTCCCAGCCTGTGTATTAGGGTGCCAATGGATGATTTTAGATTGATCACCAAAATATACTGCAGGCATGGAAGGTGTTCTTGTGTCTCCATTTGATGGGGGTGAGAGTTTCAAGATGTCACATGAGCAAAGCATGTCAAGCTGTTCTGCTGAAGGTCCAGTGGGCAGCCAGCATCCCCAGCACGTACTGAGCAGCCTTCAGCCAAAAGGAGTTTTGGAAAAGGGATGTGAAAAGTATTTTGCTGCAAGCAAGTGAAGAAACTGCAGTAGGATTATAGGGATGAGAAGTTCCATAACTGGGAAAAGTACCTGAATGTGGGAAGCAGAAGATAGGGGTAGCACAGGAGCCATGAAGGAGGGAATTGGAAAGGTCAGGAGACAATGGGCTGACTGGGAAATGCAGGAAGACAAGGAAGTGGCTAAGAAGTTTTGCATGCCCTAGCCTCAAACCTGGATTCCCACTTGGGATAAATTAGTTTTGGAGTGAGGGTCTCTGGGTTTGGCTTTCCTGAGAAAATGCTACACAGATAATTTTTTGGCAGTTGCAGTGCTGATCATATCAAATCCTGCAGAAGGGAGCTAAAGGAAATCCAAAGGGTGACAGTGTTACCCAAAATGCTGAGCCACGTTTGGGAGTGTATCCAAAGGAATGGTGGAAACTGAACTCCTGTGCTGCAGATTGACAGTGCCTGTATGGACCAGGCCTGGAAGAATAATGTCCCTCCCGTTTTTGGAGCAGGATGAGAGCCCAGAACTGGGTGTCCTGTGCAAGTCAGAATGCTTTTCCCTGTGAATCTCTGAAGGGATTTTTGTGCACCTTGGCATTAGTGACCAATACAGCCTGCAGGAGGATGTGGCCATCATAAACTCTTGAACCACAGCCAGGTGCCAGACCTGAGTTGGAGATGTGATCACAGCTACTGCCTCAAAGAGGAGCTTAATGGCACCCTGAGGTGGCACTGGCCTCGTGGTGTTGGCTTCAGAGCCAGCACCCAAATCTCTCTCCAGGGAGCGTTATGGTACAGCAGTGTGACTTTTGGGGACACTGTTCTTGTCCCTCCTGACATCTCCGGGTCTCCCTTGCCTCCAGCTCTGCAAATTTTGTGCCACCGGGAGTTGCTGGCCCAGCAGGATCTGCACAGAGGCTGAATTGTGGCAATGGGTATTGCCTCTTAATATAGAAGTGAGGGAGGGGTGAGGCTGCACAGGCGGCGCAGTGCAGAATGGCTCGGGAGCAGGCTGCGTGCTGAGAAGAGTTGTGTGGCTTACTGCAAGGGCTTCTGGCTTTAACACTGAGCCTGAGCGCACCAGAGGAACAGCGGCTTCTGAAGGGCTGTCAAGAGCAAGCCCAGGTGGTGCAGAGCAGCCAGAGTGCCTGCTCGGAGCTCGGCTGTGGCAGGAGGGTGGGAAGGGATGGGATGCTGGAGCACTGCTCGCCCAGGTATCGGGAAACCCAGAGGTGTGGCAGCATGAAATGTCTGTATGGGCTAGAAAATGGTCCTGCAAACTGTTCTGGAGCTCCACGCTGACTCTGCTCTGCTGACTGAAGCTTGCTCCTTCAAACCCAGCACAGGGTGAGCTCCATCATGTATGCATGCCCTATGTGTCCTCTTAGAAACCTCGGGAGCTTTCCCATCCCTCCCGAAAGCTGTTTTGAAAGGATTTCTCAACAGTTAACCCTGCAAATGAAGTTATGATTCAAATAATCTTAGGAATTAATAATTCATTGTAATAATTGAAAAAGAAATTTCAGCAAGAAGCATTTTACTATTACAAAGGCAAACAATGTTTTTTTTTTTTTTCAAAGAATAGGTATATTCTCCAGCAAAGTCTTTTTCATCTGGCTGCCATACCCCAATTATGTATAACATGAAACAAAAATACACTTCCTTGTGTGACAGCCCTATAAATGAAAAAAAAAAAAGCTTTCTTTTGCAACAACCATCTTCAATGCTAATGAGCAAGAAAGGAAAGGGGATTAAGTGACATTTAATTCATATTCACCTCCTTCCTGAGAACAGAGACAAAGAAAGCAGCCACAGTCAGCTGGTCAAAATGTCCAGAGTCTGAACCAGGAATTGCCAGCTAGTTAGGAGGGACTGGGAGAAGGGAGGCATAAAAAGGGGAATGTTTTCCTCTAGATCCGTGCTGCTAAGAGATGGTGTAGGCTAAGCACATGGCTTGCAGCCAGCACAGGCATCAGATGCTGCGATGATAAAAGCCTGGTTAATAATATTTAGCACTGACAAAGGGCTTTCAAGGGAAAGACAGACTTTTGTCGAGGGAAAGATGGAACCAGAGTCACCTGTTAGCCCATTTTCTCTCTTTCAGGAGAAAGTACAGTGTCGTGAATTTCTCTGTGCTTTCAAATGCCGAGCGTGACCGGGACGGGGCAAAACACAGGTTTCTAAAGACAAAAAGAGCTGGTAGTCTGATTGCGTGTGAAATGCAGATTCTGATTTTGGGAAGACAATGCTAGCTGTGTGGGGGGGGGGGGGAAAAAAAAAAAAAAAAAAAAAAAAAAAAAGCTCACGTGTTTGGTATGTGGGAAAAGAGGCAAACTCCATCCACCCCAAATGAGGAGAGCAACTGCATTTACCTGTATCTTTCCCCGGTTGCACTATTCACCGTGACAGGCTGTCTCCATCTGTGGATGGTCCGATGCTACCGTCGTGCTTGCATCATGGCAATGACATTTATAAATGGAGGTCCACGAGCCACAGGCATGGAGTGACTGGCTCAAGGTCAACTCCAGCCTGCGGCGGGAACAGGAACAACACCGAGGTCAGCCCGGTCCCATGGCTGAGCTCTGAGCCCAGCCCGGAGCCGGCGGTGGCGGACAGCCCCCGGCAGGGGTTTGCCTGAGGGGACAAAGGCAGGACTCCAGTGGGGAGAGGTGGGCGAAAGAAGGGCGGCGGCGGTGCCGCCCTTTGGACCAGCTGTTGCGAAGCTCCTGGCCAGAGGGCTGATCCCCCAGCGGCTTCCCCTCGGGGGTCTCCCCCGAAAAGCCGGAGCCCCTAGGCTGTGGCTGCCGCGTCCTCCGCGGCGGGGGGAGAGGTGGGGCGAGCATCCCCCGTTGGCGGGTGCGCGCATCCGTCTGTAGCTGAGCGTGTCGGCGCTGGCGCGGCGTGCCTGTCTGTGTCTGTCTCCGTGCGGGTGCCTGCGTGTGTCTGCGTGTGCCCCTCTCCCCGTGTGTGACACCGTGCGTGTGTGCTCGCACACCTCCCTCTCCCGCTCTCTCTCCCGCGTGTCTCCGTGTCTGTGTGTCCCTGTGTGTGCGCGGGGAGAGCAGCGCGGAGCCGGGCGCGGCAGCAGCGGCAGCAGCAGCAGCGGCGCGGTGCCCCGAGCCCCGCGGCCGGAGGAGGAGCCGCGCCGGGAGCCCCGCGGAGCCGCCGGGCGAGCGCGGCCGCACCGAGGCGCAACAGGCGGATGGCTGCCGGCGGCGGGCGCTGAAGGCGAGCGGGGCGAGGCGGAGGGGCAGGGAAGGGTAGGCGAGGAAGGGCAGCGCCGGGCAGAGCGGGCGGGATGCGGGCGGAGGAGCCGCTGGCGCTGGCGGCCCCGCGGGCGGACGGCGAGGCGGAGGCGGAGGCGCCGGGCGAGGAGCGGAGCGGCAGCAGCTGCTGCAGCAGCGAGCGCCTGGTGATCAACATCTCGGGGCTGCGCTTCGAGACGCAGCTGCGGACCCTCTCCATCTTCCCCGACACGCTGCTGGGCGACCCCAGCCGCCGGGTGCGCTACTTCGACCCGCTCCGCAACGAGTACTTCTTCGACCGCAACCGGCCCAGCTTCGACGCCATCCTCTACTACTACCAGTCCGGGGGGCGGCTCCGCCGGCCGGTCCATGTGCCCCTCGACATCTTCCTGGAGGAGATCCGCTTCTACCAGCTGGGCCAGGAGGCTATCGAGACATTCCGGGAGGACGAGGGCTTCATCCCAGAGGAGGAGAAGCCCCTGCCCCAGCACCACTTCCAACGCCAGGTCTGGCTGCTCTTTGAGTACCCTGAGAGCTCCGGGCCAGCCCGGGCCATCGCCATCGTCTCCGTGCTGGTCATCCTCATCTCCATCGTCATCTTCTGCCTGGAGACCCTGCCCGAATTCCGCCAGGAGCCCAAGGGACCCCAGCCTGGCTTCGGGGAGGCTGTTCCTCTCGGGGATGAGGCACTGCTGCTGCCGCCGCTGCCACCGCCGAGCGGGACCCCTCCGCCCCTGCACCCCACCACCGGCTCCGGCCCGTTCTTCACAGACCCCTTCTTCCTCATCGAGACCCTGTGCATCATCTGGTTCTCCTTTGAGCTCCTTGTGCGCTTCTTCGCCTGCCCCAGCAAGCCCGAGTTCTCCCGCAACATCATGAACATCATCGACATCGTGGCCATCATCCCCTACTTCATCACCCTGGGCACCGAGCTGGCCCAGCAGCAGCAGCAGAAGCAGCAGCCCGGGAGCAGCAGCAATGGGGGCCAGCAGCAAGCCATGTCCCTGGCCATCCTCAGAGTCAGCCGCCTGGTCAGAGTCTTCAGGATCTTCAAGCTCTCCAGGCACTCCAAGGGGCTGCAGATCTTAGGGAAGACTCTCCAGGCCAGCATGAGGGAGCTGGGCCTCCTCATCTTCTTTCTTGTGCATCATCTGGTTCTCCTTTGAGCTCCTTGTGCGCTTCTTCGCCTGCCCCAGCAAGCCTGAGTTCTCCCGCAACATCATGAACATCATCGACATCGTGGCCATCATCCCCTACTTCATCACCCTGGGCACCGAGCTGGCCCAGCAGCAGCAGCAGAAGCAGCAGCCCGGGAGCAGCAGCAATGGGGGCCAGCAGCAAGCCATGTCCCTGGCCATCCTCAGAGTCATCCGCCTGGTCAGAGTCTTCAGGATCTTCAAGCTCTCCAGGCACTCCAAGGGGCTGCAGATCTTAGGGAAGACTCTCCAGGCCAGCATGAGGGAGCTGGGCCTCCTCATCTTCTTTCTCTTCATTGGGGTGATCCTCTTCTCCAGCGCTGTCTACTTTGCAGAGACTGATGATCCTGACTCACTGTTCACCAGCATCCCTGATGCTTTCTGGTGGGCAGTGGTGTCCATGACCACTGTGGGCTATGGGGACATGTATCCCATGACCATTGGTGGCAAGATTGTGGGCTCCTTGTGTGCCATCGCGGGTGTGCTCACCATTGCCCTCCCTGTCCCTGTCATCGTGTCCAACTTCAACTACTTCTACCACCGAGAGACTGACCATGAAGAGCAGTGCCAGTACACCCACGTCACCTGTGGCCAGCAACAGTCACCCTTCTCTGAGCCCAAGAAGGGGGACAGTAATCAGTCCCTCAGCAAATCTGAATTCCTGGAAGCAGAAGACCTGGAGTCCATGAAATATTCCAACTTCATTCCTCCCAATAACCAGGGATATAAAGAGAAGAAAATGCTGACAGAGGTGTGATGGGTTTTGTTGTCCTGGGTCCAGACACAGAGCTGCAAGCTGCTGTTACAGTTGTCTTCCTACAAGCAGCTGGATCTATTCAGCATTTACATGCCAGATTGTGGATTGTGATACCGTAAACAGAATGATTGTGATAATGGGCTCTTCTGGCCTGATTTGCTGTTTCTCATTACTGTGTGCAGCCAGAAATGTTCTTGCTTTATTCCGTGGAGTGCTAGCTGTCATCCCCACTCCCTTGTGCATTTCTTTCTCTGCTTTTGATGACTGCTTTAATCCAACATTTGCTCCGAAACCAAGTCTTGTAACTCCACTAGCAGAGAAGTCCTTGCCACTACTTCAGCAGAAGCATTCAGCAGAGTAAACAGTTAAAGCAGCTACAAACATCTGGCTCGAGCCATGCTCTCAGTCCCTGTGCCAGCGCAGTGCCCTTGGCTGTGGAATCAGTCACGCCTGCCATGCCATTGCCTTTGAATAATGGAAACGCTGCAGCCAGGATCACAGGGAGCTCTGCAGCTGTAGGGGAAAGCCGGCAAGCAGATACCTGCCTTCTTTGCAACCCTTGGCATGCTAAAAGATCCTCCTGGTTTGTGTTTCAAAAAAAAAAAAAAAAAGTGCATAAATCTAAAAGCTCTTTGCTATTTGTGACCATACATCATGTATCAAAAACAAGCTTAAAGCAGTCAACAGGCTTGGTGAAGATTCTCTGTGTTTTGAGCTTATCTCAGCCTTATTTATGCCAGTGCCCTGATGTTAATTGGCTTTTATAGTACTAACTTAATCTTCATAGTGGTAAGTGCCTTCTGATGCAAGGCATGTTTGAGTAAATTCATTTGTTATCTGCAGAGTTCATCTTCACACAATAGCGTTTAATGAGATGTGCTTTGTGCTTCAGATACCCAGCTCTATATTCAGGCATGGGAGAGCAGTTGACTCCGCTGCTTTTTTTAATTGAGCATTGTGTAGCTGAGGGAAGTTTGCATGTTGGCATTTTGTTGATGTGGCAGGAAAATCCCAACCACAAAGAGCTGTGCACCTGTGCTGTGTGAGGATCTTGCTGGTTTAGCAAGTCAGAGGCATAAAATGCTTCAGGGCAAGTGTGTCAACATTTGAAACTGAGACTGGCACAGATACAAACTTCCCTAAGCTGTTTGCACAAAGCCAGTAGCATCCTCCAGACCCTTTGAATGAGAGGAGAAACAGCAAGCCCTGAAGAGATGCTCTTGCTGTATTGCTGGCCTAGCCAGTTCCTGGTATTTCATGGATAGGAATGACAGCAGTGTTTTTGTACTTGATTTTATGAGAGCAGTTTGTGCCAGCCATGCAAAATATGCATAGCTTGGCCTGCAGTGCCGGGTTTGTCAAGGGACCAGAGATTTCTATCTTCAAATACATGTTTTGCTTCCCAGATAATTTCATTAGTTTCAGTCAGCTCTGCCTTACACCTAACGTTAAAAATGTTTCAAGCTCTGCCAGCAGGTGAGAAAGAAAAATGTATGCTTTCAGATTCCACTGGCAGATTTTCCTGCAAGGAAAAGTCCTTCTTGTTTGAATTCTAAGTGTTTGTTCTGCATTCACATGTCTGCATGTGTACAAAAGCAAAGGCACCCATTAATGCCTTGCATCCCACTGTATGAAATGCATATTGGAATGTACTACATATTGCATGGGGCACGTGTAATACATAAACCAAACATAATGCCAAGGTGCAAAAATACAGAGAATATATTTTGTATATATATTGTGCTTTCCAGCCATAAGGCTAAGAATGCTAAAGGCGTATCATAGAACCATAGAATGACCTGGGTTGGAAGGGACCTTAAAGATCATCTCTTTCCAAAGAAGGACACCTTCCACTAGACCAGGTTGCTCAGAGCACTATCCTTTAATATAGTCAAAACTGGCTATAGAACTGGTTGTGAGGTGGGATCTGTTTGCATCTTCATTACTCTACCTGTTTTCAGTTGTCTTGAGATATTGCTCCATGCTAGAGTGCTTTTATTGTGGCCTCTCTCCATCCTGGCCCTGCTCATATGGTAGAAGTTGTTTGTGCAAATCCTAACTACTCCATTTCTCCAGAGTCCTCTTGCCTTCTCAAATGTTTTTAGTGTGCAGGGATCTCCCTTGGGGTCAGCACACAACCATTATATTAAAACCTTTGCTCTCTCTCTCTCTCTTGCTGAAATCAGTAGGAAAATGCCACTTCTCTCAGTCTGGGAGACACAAGTTGGATGTGGTGAGGACTCATAGCTCAGAGGGGTTTGCCTGAATAAAGCCTAATTTATCTTTGCTTCATGTGACTGAGGCAAAGGTTCGTGAAGGTCTGAGCCTTGGGGACCACTCTGCATCCCTTGACACCTGTAATCAGCTGGTGGGTAAATTGTCCTGGTGAATAAGTGGGACTGAGGGGCATGGTGCCACCTCTGTTGATTTTGTGTAAAAGTTGTCCAGTTCTTAGTGTGTCTTAGTCTTGGTGGTGTTCTTAGTTGTGTTTTGGGGTCACCTTAATGAAATCTTTACTGTGAGGTGAAGAGAGGGTCTGTTCTTCAAATTTTCTATTGCTTGAAACTAGCAAAAGAAGCTGCTATTTAAGAGGGATGTTTTGAGGCTGCTGCCCTCTCCCAGCCGAATGCCCATGTTTGGGGATATTTTATGCCTGAGTCTATCAGCTGATAAAAGCTCCCCCAAAGTAAGATATAAAAAACTCAGGTTGAACACAAGTTCAGGAGGAGTCATGAGACACGCTGAGCCTACGTCAGAAAATTCCTGGGCTCGTTTCTCCCCCTGGGCCTGGCCCTGTTGGCCCTGCCAGGCAGGAGCCCTCCCTGCCCGGAACAGGTTGTTCTGCTGACCAGCATGACAGACAGCTGGACATGGAGACTCTAGCAAGAAAAAACGATCACTGGTAGCACAATCCCAGCATGTCTTACACAGATCCTCTTGGAAAGAGGTGTTCTGCCCTTGGGTGGAATCCAGCAGTGAGTTTCCAGTGGGTATTGGATTCTCCCACCCACAGATCGCACCCAAGGTGTAAAGGTATTTTGTGGTGAGCAAGGCAGCTCTGTGCAGTTTTTGTGAGCCACTTTTGTCAGTTCTGAAAAGAAAAGGGCACATGAAAATGTGTAAAGCAGGAGTGTTGTTTGCTCCCTGGGTTTTCCTTGTTGGCTCTAAGGGAAATACAGACCACCAACAGAAGCATGGAAACTGTAACCTTGGGACTCATCTGGGACATGTAAATCCTTCTCAAAGCACCTCCTGAAAAGCAGTGAAGTCCCAGAGTCATCAGTAATGCTATACGTTACAGAACTTGTGGAATCTGACCTTTTTAAAGGAGCCTTCAGATTTTTTTTTCACGTGACTGAAATGACACAGTGGCACCCATTAACTTTATCAGAGGTCTCATGCCACCGAATCACAGAGATGGTTTCAAAAACCTTATCTCAAGTTCTCAGCGCTTAGCACTCCCCCCAGCTGCTCAAAATGCAAGTCAGTTTCCTTCTGAAGGTAGAGCACATCCCTGTGAAGCCAAGTAGGCACCTCCAGGGACTTGTTTCCATAACAACCTCCCGGACTGTTTTTCTCTCTCTGTGCTGTGATTGTGGCTACAAGCAAAAGCACTCGTTGGATATTTTGTGTTCAGATATCAGCACCTTATCTTTACAGATGTTTTCTTTGCCTACTGGAGCTGATCCCATCACCTTATATCATGTACAGCTGCCCTGTCCAACTTCAGGTGGGCAGTTTCCAGCCTTCGAAAGCAGGGAGAGCAAACCTGGAGATGGAAAGAGATTTTATTTGTCCATCCACACAGAGTTGAAGAGTGTGTGAAATACAATCTGAGCAGTCAGCCAGGGAGCTGAGGGGCTACTGGTCTGATGTAGAGTCATCTGGGTGCCTGGTGACAAGGAATACAGGCTAAAGCATTACTTTAAAGATCCAGAAATTCCTCTTGCAGCAATCTCACTAGGAAATAGTTTTACAGTGGAAGAGACTATTGCTCCTTCCAGATCCCCTGGCTGGTTTGTTATAGTTGGTTCCCCTGATCATTTTCCCACAGGATATTTTTCACCAAAGCAGGACAGGGCAGAAATTGTCTCTTTGGAGGTAGGCAAGAAAGGAAGAAAAGGAAGAATTTTACTGAGGACACCATTTTTTTATCCACACAAAGGTCTGGAAGCTCGGAAGGCATGAAGACCTGTTCTGTGGTGTTTTACTGTTGGACTCTTGCTCTTAACTCCAAGATGAAATTCCTGTTCTGCTCCTTATTGGAAAACATTGGAATTTGGGATTTTTGAGTAATTTTTTGTTTGGGCCTTTTGATCCAGCTTTTGTGGATAAAAATTCACTGCTACAGCAGGTGTGGAGGTGAAGGTGACTGAACTTGGTCTTCTCTCCTGGGTCCTCTCATTCAGAGTCCCTATGGGATAAAGAAGAGTGAGTGTCAAGAAAATTCAGGGCAGCAAGAGACAGGGTAAGGATTGAAGTGTCTTCCACACGGTGATGGCAAGAGCAGCATCAACCCTAAAAGCAAAGGAACAAGCAGATCCATCATCTGCTGCTATTGCAAAAATAGGTAAGGTTTCTTTCTGTTCTGGGAAATTAACAACCAAGAGTTTCTTGAAATTAATGAGGAAGGATTTCCTAATTAAGATTTGCAGCCTAAAGGGAGAATCTGGTTCTAGGTGAAGAAAGAAAGATAATTATAAACTACAGAAATGTAGTATGAGCCAGATCCTCACCATCTGCTGATTCAAGCTTGCAAAACTCCTTTTAGTACAACTGCCTTGGATTATATTGGGCTTCAGCTTCAATCTTCTGCATCAAATCCAAGCACATGTACTGTTTGTTAAACTGCTTCTTTTTGTTTGTTCTTTTCTTGAGGTCCTGTTTACATCAGGGAAAGATCTGCAGATTACAGCAGGAGTCAACCACAGCTTTCCCAAAAGCTCTCACCTGACTCAAGTCCAAGTAAGTCCTACCAAACTTGGCAGAGCTAAGTTAAAATTAACTTTAACTTTATATTGACAGAAATTAAGAGTAGCAGCATTTTATGAATTTTTTTTCCTCACTGGTGGAAAGATGTGGACAGATTCAAGGGGAATTGGAACATACTGCCCTCCTTGGCAGCCCTGTGAGCACAAGATATCTCTGTTGGTGCTGCTGTAACCAAGAGCACAGCCTTGAGCCCTTCATCATTGCTCTTTGAAGCTTGCACTAGAGGCAGATCCCTTCTGAAGAGATTTGCAGCCATGTTATCAGCAGGTTCACAGGAGAATGCCTAAACTGCAGGCACCTGCTGTAGGCATAAGGAGGGGAGCAGGTGTTGGCAGGATGAAAAGACTTAATCCCCTGTTGAAAGGAACCAGGGGATGCTGCGTGTCCTTAGCTGCCACCAAAGACAGTGCCTGAGGAAACTGCCTGCCAGTTTCAAGGAACTCTTCTTGTTCAGGCTGGGGTCCTACAAGACCCTTCCCAGGAAGATAAATCCAGAAAAATGTTTTTGGGGAAGGCAGACAGGGACTGTGCTAATTAACAGTGCAGCATTAACAGTGCAGCTGTTAGTACATGTTAATTCCACGTGCTTTTCCCTCTTTTGAGTGGGTATTCCCTTGCTCCAGGGAAGTCTGTCTGGGGCTTGTTGGCTGGCACAAGGAGTTTGAATGTCATAACGTGGCTTTACATTTTGGGAAACTCATAGCGGAGGTCAGTGTGGGTTTTACTGTCCTACAGCATTCACTGATGAACCTTCACCACTGGACATATCCAGGTTGTCTGTAGTGCCAATTAATAAGAGGGGGCCCAAGAAATAATTGAGCTTTGCTGTGTAAAACTCCTTCTTAGTGAAAGGAAAGAAAGGATTTGCAGGAGGGAAAGTGCTCATCTGTTTCTGTGGTCACCATAAATACTGAAGCTGTGTTGACTACTTTTTGCAGATGAGAATTAGGGGAAACTTTTGTCTTCACACAAAGAAAATTCAGCAAGCCCTTCTTTGGCTTCATTTTCACTAAATTAATATAAAGATATTTATTCAGTGGTATAAAATTTTGGAACACCCTTAGTCAGAAAGTGGCATAAGTCACAAATTTATCAATTTAATTACCTAATCTAGCCATTGTCTGTTTAACAAAATGAGGGCCCTCGATTCTGCTGTCTACCCAAGGTTAGATAAAGGTTTCCATAGGATTGTGGATGGTATGACTCCTGATTTAAATGAGTGTGAGAGAAGAATCAGGCTCAAAGAAGAGGGCTGTAAGTGCCCATGACTAGGCTGGATCTCTTTAGGGTGCTGTAGGTGCACATTGGTCCATTCACCTAAAAGGTTGTATACAATTTTACACCAAAAAAAGTTCTAGCTGTTAGAGTACATATTGCTTTATTCTCTTACATTCCCTGGAGGGAAATGAAATGGTATTTTACAAGAAATCTGGAACATTACCATCCCTTCTTGCTGCTCCTTGATGCATCTGTTGTTTTCAATTAGCTTGATGGCATCCATTTTCAGAAAACAGATGCTGCCCTCTTTTACACTGGTGCAATTCTGGAATAACTCCACTGACGTCAGTGAAGTGACTCCAAATTTATCCCCGGCAAAAGCAGAATTGGACCACAGTCTCTTTGTCTGCCTCTCTGCTCTGGAGCTCTGGGGAAGGTGTGCCACTGCCACAACATAAGGTGAGGGCGAGTGCCTGTCTGCTGTGCTGTGCTTGGCATTTTGTGTCCTTGACACCCCCACTCATGTGCCTGGCTGGAGCAGGAGCCAGGCTGGCCTGGGGCATGCATGGCCACCAAATTCCTGGTGCTGAATGTAGCACTTTCTGGCTCTGGATTCCTGACCACTCTTCATCTTAGCTTCCTCTTGCCTGAAGATGTTTCCCAAGGAGACAGAGCTTTTTAAGCTGAAAAAATGTAGTTGCAATTCTTAAATAATAGAACAACAGAAGGGTGGCAGAGGTAGATGTGGAGACAAGCTCTGCGCCTCCTACATTTTTTTTGCTGATAGGGCTGTGTGAAAATCATTGCAGTCCTGGTAGGTTGGCTTTACATCTGCTGGTTTCAAAGTCTCCATTTACAGGGGGTACTAGGTTGGAAAAAATGGGACTTACCTGCTCTAACTCTTCTGATGTCAGTCCTGCCTTCCCTGAAACTGGACAGAAAGCTTTGTGTAAAATCACCAGTTTGCTGTAAGGGAAAATACCACTGGAGATGGGACAGATGAGGGTGAGTAGAAGGAATACTTGTGGAATCATGGAATGGCCAGGGTTAGAAGGGATATTAAAGACCATCTCGTTCCAACCCTCTGCCATGGGGCACGGACACCTTGATTGCTCAGAGCCCTATCCAGTCTGGTCTTGAATATCTCCAGGGATGGGCAGCTACAGCTGCTCTGGGAAATCTGTTCCAAGGCTTCACCACCCTCACAGGGAACAATTTCTTCCCAATATCCAATCTAAATATCATCTGTCAGTGTGAAGCCATTGCCCCTTGTCCTGTCACTCCAGACCCTTGTCAAGAGTCTCTCTCCCTTTTTCCTGTGGGTTCCCTTCAGGCACTGGAAGGCCACAAGGAGGTCACCCCAAAGCCTTCTCTTCTCCAGGCTGAACAATTCCCAATTCCCTCAGCCTTTCCTCCCAGCAGAGCTGCTCCATCCCTCTGATCCCCTTGGTGGTCCTGCTCTGGCCTGGCTCCAGCAACTCCCTGTCCTTCACTCAGCCAGAGTGCCAGTGTCACTAACTGAGCCACCATAGTGGCTCAGTTTAAAAAAAAAAATCAAGGTGCAAGTCTTGGAAAATCTCAGGACAAGCATGTTCAGTAACACCTGGAAAATCTTAATTCAGTAACACGTGGAAAATCTTAATTCTGCAAGGCCTCATCTGCAATGCTGTGTGCATTGTTGGTGACCTAAAGACAGGATGCACAGAAGAACAGCAAGAATGATCAGGTGGATGGAATGTGCTTTGCTAGTGGAAGCTGGAAGAGTACGACTTTTCTAGGCCAGCAAAAGACTGACAAGACCTGTAGTTAGGAAAGAACTGGGGGCAAAATAACCAAAAAAGAAGAAAAAGATGAAAATTGTAAGATCTTCCCACATTTCTTGTGTCTCCAGATCATTTGCCATACTGCATGTTTACCTGCAGAACACCAAATCCTGGTGATTTTACTACTAAATACTTGGGTTTTGTGGGTAGGAGGGAGAGCTAGGAGAGGAACTCTGAGTCTTGGGAAGTTTTTTTTCTCAGTGGGACTGAGGAGAGAGAAAGAAGTCCAAGAATGGGGTAGAATGGCGCAGAGGATACCATATCCCTCCAGGACCTGGTCTGGAGGCAAGAGAGCAAATTCACACCCTTTAAAGATACCCCACCAAACTCTGTTCACTGCTCTTCCCCTCAGCCTGGAATGGCTGCTTACCATATCCAGTCCTTTCTCCCTATCCAGAGCTCTCCAGCTTTTTGCTGACCTTCCTTCTTCCTGGAATCTGTGGTCATTCCTCACTCCCATGAGCTCCCTGGAATCATTGGAATGGTGCATTGCATCTAATGAATGCAATGAATGAATCTTGAACATGTCTGCTGCAGCTCAGTTAGATTATCTGATTTGAGCAACCTGCCCTAGTGAAAGGTGTTTCGGCCCCTCTGGCACGAGTGTTGGAATGAGGTGACCTTTAAGGTCATTTCCAACCCAAATCAGTCTGTGAATCTGTGGTTTGTTGCAGAAATAAGCAGTGATGCATGGTCTTCAACAGAGGACCATGCTCACAGAAGACCATGCTCACAGAATCATTAAGGTTGGAAAATACCTCTAAGATCATCAAGTCTAGCCTTCACTGGAATATCATAATGCCCAGAAAACTATATAATGAAGTGCTATGTCCACTCATGCTTTGAATAGTTCCAGGGCTGGTGACTCCAGCACTTCTTTGGGCAGTCTGTTCTAATGATTAACTGCTCTTTCAGTAAAAATTTTTTTCCTAGTCCAGTCCTGTCCCTTGTTCCCCTGGAGAAGAGGCTGACCCCCACCTGGCCACACCCTCCTGTCAGGGAGTTATGGCAAGCAGCATTGTTGGGTAGCTGGTCAGAGCAGTTGATCCCAATGGCCACTCTGGCCTGAAGAGATGAGCAGAATAATTTCCTATTGCACGTACTGTTCTGCCACAGAACAAAATTTCATGTTTCTACTCTTACCTCTCTCACCTCTCTCAAATCACAGAATTCATAGAATCACTAGGTTGGAAGAGACCTTAAAGATCATTGAGTTCAACCCATGCCCTAACATCTCAAGTAAACCATGACACCGAGTGCCACATCCAGTCTTTTTTCAAACACATCCAGGAATGGTGACTCCATTACCTCCCCGGGTGGCCATTCCAGAACTTTATGACTCTTTCCATGAAAAACTTTTTCCTAATATCCAACCTATATTTCCCTTGGCACAGCCTAAGACTGTGTCCTCTGGTTCTGTCAGTTGCTGCCTGGAGAAAGAGACTGACCCCCACCTGACTACACCCACCTTTCAGGTGGCTGTAGAGATTGATAAGGTCACCCTGAGTCTCCCTTTCTCCAGGCTAAACACCCCCAGCTCCCTCAGTCGTTCCTCATAGGGCTTGTGTTCCAAGCCCCTCACCAGCCTCCTTGCCCTCCTCTGAATGCGCACAAGTGTCTCAATGTCCTTCCCAGACTGAGGGGCCCAGAATTGTTTCCCCTTGCGGAGGTGAAGATCCTCTTAAGCTCAGGAGGCAGACAAAATATTGACTGAGGCAGGAGCTTCATCTGTTCAGCCAGCTCTGTGTCACAGAAGTACCAGGAAGGAGCTGTCCTTAGACTTTGTCCTTGAGCTTTCCTGCTTGTTGATGCTCTTTGTTCACTTCAGTGAGGAAACCATTGTCTTGTGATTTCCATCTCTATTTTGGCCAACCAGTTCTGCTTTTTAGCTTTTCTCCTGTGAGTAGTAAGATGGTGAAGGGCCTGGATGGGAAGCCACATGAGAAGCAGCTGAGGGCACTTGGTCTGTTCAGCTGGAGAAGAGCAGACTGAGGTCAGAGCTCGCAGCAGTTCTGCAGCTTCCTCATGAGGGCAAGGGGAGGGGCAGGCCGTGATCTCTGCTCTGTGTGACCAGGGACAGGACCCAGGGAACAGCTGGAGCTGTATCAGAGAAGGGTTAGGTTGTTTAGGAAATTTTCTTCCCCCAGAGGGTGCTGAAGCACTGAACAGGCTCCCCAGGGAACAGTCATGGCCCCAAGGCTGCCAGAGCTCCAGGCACGGGGTGGGATTGTTGGGTGTCCTGGGCAGGACCAGGAGATGGACTTGATGATCCTTGTAGGTCCCTTCCAACTCAGGCTGTTCTATGATTCTGTGATTCAATGAGGAAAAAAAGAAAGCCAGGCAATGGAAATGTTATGAATATCCATGCACATCACAAAAGCCTGTGAATGTGGACACAACTTGTGCTCTATCTGTGGCACTGGCAGGATGGTGCACACAAATCTGATGGTCCTTAAGATATCATAAGAACCTGTCCCAAGCACTTGGCATAATTTGAGTCATGGCAACAAGACACATTAGAAAGGAGTTGTAAGAAATACAGAGTAAGCCAAGGAGTTTGATTTGAACCATGAACAGTTGTGCAATTATTTCTGATCTCAGTTTACTCACAGAATTATGGAATAGCCCAAGCTGGAAGGAACCCTTAGCAGTGTGTAGTAATCAGGCTCTGAATTATTCTCATATTTTAGTGTGTCAGAAATAGCACTGTCTGGCACATTCCTTTGAGAACTGTAGACTATGGCCTTTCATGCTTATGACAAAGCAATTGATCTTTGTAGCCTGTCCTTGGAAATGACTTTCAGAAATGTTTCGAATAGTATTCACTGCCGCATTATTCTGGTATTTGATGATCTTCTAGTTTTCATCAGTGGACTGCAAACATTTCTCTTGGATGAGAAATGTTCTCTTTCAAAAGGTGCCCCTTCCTCAAAATCAGCAATATTTGTGTGAGAAGTATAATTTCAGTTTATTTTGGTACCCTTTACAAAAGGCATGTTTAAAAAATTTTGTTACATGCGTGATCTCTTGCTTAATATTCTATATATTTTTTGCCTTTTTTTTTTTTTTTTTTAAGAAAATGGATGTAAACAAGGCCAAATACAAAATTTGGCCCTGTTTTGGTTTTTCTTGGTTGGTTTTTGTTTGTTTGGTTTGGTTTTGGGATTTTTCTTAATTTGTTTGGGGTTTTTTGTTTGTTTTTTTTCTAACTTTGATCTAGAATGAAATATATAACACGCATTTGGGGTTTATGTTGGTTTTTTTTTTTTTGTCTTTTGGGAGGGAGGGGATTATCCTTGGTTTAGGGGAGTTTATTTTTAAAAAACTCTTTTTTTTAAGCAGTGTAGTGGTAGGCATTGGTTGTTCCTCTTCATTACCAGTGTAGCTCCAGTGTCAGCTCCAATACTTCCTTTAATTCATCTATGTAATACTCAAATGCTCCAGAAGAGATGGAATGACAGCCCAAAGCTCATTGGTAATTACAGCATGTACTCCCAGTGACAGAAGGGATGTTCCAGTGCTTTGGCTATGGCGGAGCCAAGCCAGTTGCTCTTTTCTGCAGCTGCAACACCTGCCCAGTTGAAAAAGTTTTTTTGATGAGACCAAACTGCTTTTCCAGGGCTGTCTGACTTGCTG